TAACTTCTAATCTAATAATGCGCTTTTCTTCTTTTTCAGTCTTCGGATTTTTAAATTCATTGTTATACTGAAACACTTGTTAATTTGAGAAAACTCTTTTAATTACCGTTAGATAGACGCAATCTAATAACCTCTCGCTTATTAGCAGTTTGTTCGCCAATTTATTCAGTTTGTTTATCGCTTTTTCTACACGATTCACGCAAAAAACGTTGCTTTAGCACACGCTAAAGGGCAAGGTACTTTATCGTATATCTATGTTTTAATTAGAGCATTTCTCGACGATGATTTTTCATTCTAAAATAAGTGAACCGTTATAATTAACGAACTCTTTTTTTTTCAGTAATTGGAATTTTTATCACTTTTAGCGTCTTCTCCGTAAAGTAATAGTTCGTAGTTGCGTTTGGCCATCGTTAAGGGAAAACAAGGATTTGCTATCTTTTATGCTACAGATTCGCCCTTTATCACAATGCCGTTGATTAGTTTGGGAAGGTGGAATGAACTTTGGTTTTCGATGCGGTTTTTTAAAATGACGTGAATTAAGAATATCTCTTAAATCTAGTAATTGAAATTAAAACATATGTTTCGCGTTTGAGCCCCGACTGTGCCATGGATGTTTATAGATGTTCGGAATCCACTTTAAAAATAAACATGGCCCACCATGCGCCTTTTTGATTTTACTAATAATCGTGTTGTGAAAAATGCTGACAGCACCCTACTCGGCAAAAATTGGAAAAATTTTAGAAACTCCTTCAAGATAAAATAAAAATGGCCATCGTTAAAAAACAATGAAGCACATAAAAATTAGTTTCGCCCTTTGGAATCATCAATGCCGTTGATTTTTCGTTAAGGAAAACAAGGATTTGTTATCTTTTATGTTTCGCCCTGCGCTGATAAGCCTACTCCGCAAAAAAAATCTCCTTTTTCGGACTCGGCCAATAGGCAGATGGCTATGGCCCATCATTTACTGTAGTGCCAGAGAGTTAGTTAGTTAGCAACATATTCCTGATCCATAATTGATTCCGCGTTAACTTGATACACTAATCGACCTTTACTTATCAAAAGAGTTGTTTTGTTTAATAGGCGTTAAATTCAACCGCTAATATCAAATCTTTACTATTCAAAGAATTGAAATTTTCGGTGCTAATATTCACTCTACTCCTAACGTTACTTAGAGCCGACGCTGTGAAGTAATGTTAAATAACAAATGACATCAACTTTTAATAACAAACCCTTGCTATTCGAAGATTTGAAAAAAGAAACAATGTTAAAATTCAATTTATTTCTAACGCCATCTATCGTCGAAGTCGAGTAATGTTACTAAAAGTAACTGTAATACTTTGTTTCGTCAATTGGAGTTGAATGTTAATTTTCGTCAACTTTACTTAAATTAACAGTTGACATAGAACCGTTTTTCCAACGTACATAATTATTATTTGTACAAGCCATTACATTATCCCTGTAGCACAAATAGGATTTATTGTCGAGCCGTTTCCATGCCGTTTCGAATTCCTGAGACTGCTTTATCATAGTAGATTCAACATTATCTAGAGTGGGAATCCACATGGGAATTTTACACAGCACTCACATTTTTTCAATTTAACTTTATATAACCAACTCCATTGGAATCAGTGGTTCTTAAAATGGGGGGTGCTGAAAATACTTTGAAAGTTAGCGAAAAACATGTTTAAAATATCCCCTTTAAACTTATTGTATTTAAAAGATACCCTTTTAAAAATTCTAACCTTTTAAAAGATAACCTTTTTTAAATTTCTAACCTTTTAAAAGATAACCTTTTTTAAATTTCTAACCTTATTTAAAAATTCTAACCTTAAAAAGATAACCCTTTTTTTTAATTTCTAACCTTATTTAAAAAAATTCTTTTTTTTTTAATTTCTAACCTTATTTAACCTTAACCTTTTTAAATTGAAAAAAAAAAAAGAAAAAGATTCTTGAATTCATCAAAAATATCATCTCGTCACTGTTAGTAATATTACTTTTTTTTCCTATTAAAAAAATGTTTTTTCAAGTGTTGCAACTTTATTCAATTTTTAGTTATTGTGATTATTAACACATATTTTTTCAAAGATAGTTTATTACATTTTTGTGATAGAATATAGATTTCATACAATGTTGTTTTTATATATTTTTGAACATCGATGATGAGGGTCGTTGTAAAATTAAATTTTGTAAAGATGACGCGAACTAAAATGTTTAACAGCCACTGATAGAATGGATACGCTCCCTATCTTTTTTTCTAATTCAATAGAATTCTTTCTAGTCGATAGTTTATCGTGTTCGACGTCGAAATTGGCACAGAAGTTTTTGGTTCTGCTTTTTTTTTGTCAACTCGAACCATGTTCGACGAATTCAAAAACCTTTTTTATCAAAAGCAGGCATTTTTTTGAGTTTTTGCCTAGGGCTTGTCTTGCTTTGTGCTAGGAGGTTAAAATGTTTTGAGAAAATACTTAGTGAAATATCCGAGTAGAAATTAAAGCTTCGTAAATTTTCTACATACCGTTTCATAAAAAAAAAGTATATTTTAAAACATAATTAGATTATTTTCATAGAATAAATTGCATGGAATAAATGTTTGGAATGGACCTGAATGGCCGAGTGTCTCGAGCTCGGTGCCACAGGTCTAGGTTCGAGACCCAGCGATGTCATGGATGTTTGTAACGGTTTGGAATCCACTTTAAGCCGTAGGTCCCAATCTCATATGGCTGTAAGAGCGTCAAGTCAGACGTCTACCTACCAGTGCTCCATCTCAACAGAAAGTGCTCCCTTTTTCTCCGTCCATGAGTAGACTACTTACGGGATGTCCGCACTGCAGGGAACTGAGGGTTAGTCACAACACAACACAAATGTATGAAATAAATGCAATAAATATCGTCCAATAATAAATATTTTCAAAAGGATTTCACGATATTTTCTATGTATTGTTGATTTCTTGGAACAAAGTAGAGAAATTGTACCGTTTTTTACTTTTTTTTAAGGATAACATAAAAAAGTGCTGACATTTTGCCTATTTGGTGCAAATTTAGAAAACAAAATAATATATATATATATTTCTAATCAACAATACGTAGAAAGTAATCATGAAATCTTTTTGAAAATAGTATCGTTTCAAAAAGGTTTCATGATTACTTTCTACATATTGTTGATTTCTTAGAACACGTCTTAGAAAATGTGACGTTTTTTTAAGACAATGTAGTAAAGTGCTGAAATTTTGTCTATTTGGTGCAAATCTAGGCACACACACACAAAAGTTTCTATTTCCAGATGATACTACTTTCGAAAGAGTTATATATTTTTAAATAGATTTCATGATTATTTTCTACTTATTGTTGATTTTTTAAAACATTGATATACATTTTGTCGTTATTTTATGGTTAACATAAAAGAGTGTCGTTATATTTGTCTATTTAGTGCAAATCTAGACGCATAAATTTAAAAATATTTCTATTTTCGGATGATACTTACAAAATCCAAGAAAACGGTTACGACACGAATTGCAGTTAATGAAACCGAAATTCTTCTCTTCGGAAACAGTTTTCTAAAGAACGACTTAATTATCCTGGACGCAAATAACTCCGAATAATTGTTTCCGAACAGCGAACAACGGACCTTTATGTAACGAAGTCCTGGAAAGCTGCAGTTCCGAATGTTGCAGACATGTGGTTAAATAAAGGCATTCGAACGAGATAGAATGCTTCTGATGTGTCTTTTGTGTGTTTTGGGGTGGAGACGATGTGGGCTGCAGACCATTTTGGAAAGTAATAGTAAAGTGTTTCGAACAAATAATGGATGTTTTAAATCAAAGATCTCATGTAGTTAACCGAGCATATTTGATGAAACAAAATTATAGTTATTTTGCTTTTTATTGATATCGTAAAATGTAATTTGTATTATTTGTATTATCTGAACAAAGTTTTATTTATTTTTTGTTATATTAAATTAACCAAATTATTGTTTTGTATACCTAATTTCCTCAAAATTAAAAGTGGGTGTCAATGGGGCAATTCTGGCATGGACTTATCCTTTCCTTGCATTTCAGATTCGTAGCTCAGTTTTTTAATTTATATTATTGTAACATAACACAGAAACCTGATGGCCGAGTGGCTAGTGCTCTGGTCCTCGGTTCCACAGGGTTCGAGTCCCGGCTGTGACATAGGTGTTTGTAGTGGTTCGGAATCCACTTTAAACTGCAGGTCCCAGCCTAATGGGACTAATATTACACCACACCACATCACTGTGCCTAAAACTGAGTTGCCTCTTTACAGTTTGGGAATGATGTGGGTGAGAAGAAGTCTGATTCGGCTCTATGACACTCGTCATATGAGACCTTGACCTACATTTTAAAGGGGATTCCGAACCACTATAAACATCCATGACACCGCAGGGATTAGAACCCGAAACCTTTGGTACCGAACGCCAGAGCGTTAGCCATTCGGCCATGAGGCCCCAAGGTCTACTATGACTGTAAGAGCGTAGGGCTGATATAATACCCAGTAAAAAAGAAAACATCTCCTATATCGAAATGCTGGCTATAGGCAGATGCCTAATGATGATGAAGAAGAAAAAAAACAATATAACACGCACGCAACGAAAGCGTAATTGTTAGAAAAAAACTGGTCTTAGTAGCTGTTATAAGAGTTTAAAAAATCTGCTTAGGGATTTCATGAAACATGTCTTGGAGTAAATTTTTAAGTTAAGCAGCTTTTTAAATTTTTTCATTAATGAAGGTGTTTTTAAGATGTTGTAATGAATTATAAAAATATTGAGATTAGTCAGTTCTATACATTATTTGATTTACTAAAGAACCCCATTTAGAGTACCGTGAGCCAACTACACTCATGAGCCAAAACATTATGACCACCTGCTTCAACCCGCATTGGCATGGATTAATACCACCACTTAATACCAGTTAAATACCACTTCCACCTGATCGCGTGCCTTCCACGTCATCCAGGCGAGTTCATTGCAAAATGTAGGGGTGGTCATCCGGTTCTCGTTAGAACACCGAAGTTAAGCATCATTGGGCGCGGTCAGTACTTGGGTGGGTGACCACCTGGGAACACCGCGTGCCGTTGGCAAAATTTGGGACCTGAATGGCCGAGTGTCTAGCGCTCTGGCGCTCGGTGCCACAGGTTTCGGGTTCGAATCCCGGCGGTGCCATGGATGTTTGTAGTGGTTCGGAATCCACTTTAAGCCGTAGGTCCCGGTCTCCCATGACTGTAAGAGCGTCACGGAGCAAAAGTCAGGCTTCTACCTACGGGTGCTCCATCACAACAGAAGCTGCTTCCTTCCCCTTCAATCATGAGCACGTATGGGCTCGTGGGCTTGGCCAGCCAAGTGGGATAAGAAACAACAACAACAACAACAGGGGTGGTCATAACGTTTTGGCTCTTGAGTGTATGTCGAAAAAATTGGAGCATCAATAAAAGTGCTATTCATTTTATCAAGAATGTAACATCCGAAGTAGAATGCTGTGGAATCCTGCATCGAAGGCAGACAGCTATAACATTCAAGTAGAATGCTGTGGAATCTTAGAATTATGTATCGTAAGCAAACAACTGTAACATTTTTTTTTGCAACATTTTAAATTTCTAACCTTATTTAAAAATTCTAACCTTAAAAAGATAACCTTTTTTTAAATTAAACAAAAAAGATTTTTGAATCATCAAAAATATCATCTCGTCACTGTTAGTAATATTACTTTTTTTTTTATTAAAAAATTTTTTTTTTCAAATGTTGTAACGTTTATTCCATTTTTAGTTAATGTAATTAATAACACATATTAATTCAAGGAGGTTTATTACATTTGTATAGTAAAATATCGATTTTAAACTTTTTTTTTTCGTTCCAATGCAGCTGGCAAACACTATAGACAGCTTAGTCTTGGATGTCTTAAGGCAAGCGCTGCACAGACGTTACTCACTTTTCATTACCCAGGGGGCGCGTGTAACTTGAAGATACGGACGCGGAGTAACAATGCCCCCGCAACACTCTACGATCCTATTAGGACCGGGACCTACGGTTTAAAGTGGATTCCGAACCACTACAAACACCCATGGCACCACCGGGACTCGATCCCGAAACCTGTGGTACCGAGAGCCAAAGCGCTAGCCACTCGGCCATTCAGGCCCAACAACTGTAACATTCGAAGTATAATGTTGTAGAATCCCATGATTCTGTCTCGGGGACAAACAACTACAATATTCGAATTATATATATATATATATATATATCTGTCCAGCACTGCCAGACACTGAGGATTAGTCACCACATCAACAACTTTTAAGACATGATCGTAAAAATTTCCTTCGGTATGACTTTTGGGAATCAGAATGTTTGCATTCAATTTACAACATGATGGGGCCTGACTGGCCGAGTGGCTAACGCTCTGGCGCTCGGTACCACAGGTTTCGGGTTCGAGTCCCGGCGGTGCCATGGATGTTTGTAGTGGTTCGAAATCCACTTTAAAAAGTAGGTCCCGGTCTAATAGGATCGTAGAGCGTTGCGGAGGCATTGTTACTCCGCGTCCGTAGCTTATCTACACGCGCCCTCTGGGTCATGCAAAGTGAGTACGTTTGTGCAGCACTTGCCTTAAGGCATCCAAGACGTCCATGTCTGTGTTTGCCAGCTGCATTAGAAAGCAAAAAAATTTACAACTTGATAGCAAGTGTAGGTAAAAGTAGAAATCAAATTGAAAGGATTTAATTTTTCTTTTGTAGTAATGATATAAAAGTTCAATATGATAATTAAAGTAAAATAAATGCATAAGAGGAATGTTAGTAGTTATAAACTGTTTTTTGGATTGTTTTTAAATTGCCATTTATAGTTCATTGTGTTATTCTAGTGTAAAATATATCCAAAGAGAATTTTAATCTCATCAATGAAATAACGATAATTTCGTACATCATGAATGGCATCACGAACTAAATTATACTGGTCATCATAAAATCGAACGTTGACAGAGTTTATAAAAGTTTTATCTGTTAAATTGAGAACAGTTAGTTGTTTTTTTTTAATTTGTTGAACGCGAATATTAAAAATTATCTTGATTATAAGTAAGATTTCAATTTCATTTTGTTAGTAACTTTCTTAATAAATATTTTTCTTTGTAGTGAAAATTGAATTATTTTTTTTAAAGTCTTCAACTTCATATAAATATCGATGGTACATTTGTAACTTTACTATGAAATGAATTATAATCAGTAATTGACTTCATCAATTGGCTTCAGAATAAACCAATTCAGATTAGTTTTAATTAAGCTACAAGCATTTGATTTCAAATATCACTGCATTAAGCATTTAATTTGGAAAATGTTTGAGCACTAAAAGTAATTAGATTAAATATTTAATGCTTGATTTAAATTTTAGGAAAAATGCCTTAGCTGTTAGAAATTAAGATCCTTAAATGTCTGCATCTTTAAGATGAAAGCAAGTCTTAAACAAATAATGATTGCAGGAAGTATGTTAAATATAGTGAAGTAGCATTTATTAAACATAGCAATTTTAATTCCATGTTTAAATGTATAGTTTGCATAATATCATGCAAATTTTCATTTGAAAAATCAAAATTGCTTTTTTTTGCCAAGATTAAAACTTATAGTTAAATTTATCATCTATTAAATTTTCAAACGAATGTTATTACTTATATATTCCCAATATAAGATATTTAAATCCTAACTTTTTAATATATACGTAAATACTACTATAATCTGAGCTTTACTTTCTTGTAATAGTGATCGAATTTGAATATTAACCATTAACGTTGTATTGCATGTTTAAAAAGACTGGTTAAAAATTTAAATGCTGTACAAATTGCGATTTTAACAGCTTCTAGTTTCATGGGAAAACTTCTGTTGTTGTTTCTTATCCCACTTGGCTGGCCAAGCCCACGAGCCCATATGGACTCATGATTGAAGGGGAAGGAAGCAGCTTCTGTTGTGATGGAGCACCCGTAGGTAGAAGCCTGACTTTTGCTCCGCGACGCTCTTACAGTCATAGAAGACCGGGACCTACGGCTTAAAGTGGATTCCGAACCACTACAAACATCCATGGCACCGCCGGGATTCGAACCCGAAACCTGTGGGCACCGAGCGCCAGAGCGCTAGACACTCGGCCATTCAGGTCCCAAATTTGCCAACGGCACGCAGTGTTCCCAGGTGGTCACCCTCCCAAGTACTGAGCGCGCCCAATGATGCTTGACTTCGGTGATCTAACGAGAACCGGTATATTCAGCATGGTACGGGAAAACTTCTCTCGTGCATTATTGCTGTTTGGCGAATTTCATATGAAGAAAGAAGAGAAAAAAAAGCAAAAATGAACAAGAGAACTTCTAGGTGATACTATTGCTTTAAACACAAAGTAATAAGAAAGTAATATTAAAAGGAATGGTAAAATAATCGATCCAAAAAAAATATGGTATAAGAATTTAATGTATATTTTTGAGGTTTTTGTATTGATACAATTTTAAATCTGATTTTAAAGAAACTTTTCAGTATTTCCTGAATGCAATGATTATTACAAGCAACAGAATCTTACATGTATCCGTAATGTGTGTCCCAAAATTCCGCAAGAAAACTTGCTTGAATTTTGCGACACCTCTGTGTTCGCAATTTTCGTTAAAATGCATGACAATTAATAGGACCCCTTAAAGACATTTTAATACTCATTTAAAGTTGATAACAAATGTTTCCGTATGAACTGTTTGCAAGGCGTAGTTTATAAAAGTTTGTTTTAAAACTAAAATAAATTTCAACTGGGTTTCTACTAAAGTCGCTCAATCTAAGCTGGCTGCACTATTCAGGCTAAATTCTAGAGGAATTATAATTTTAAAGACTACAAAAGTTGTAAATACTTGCGCAACTTAGAATTTTTATTATTGTAAACTTTGGCTAAGACTTCAATAAAGATTGCAATTCGTATTGGTACATAAGTGAACACGGAAACTCTATTTAGTGCAATTTAAAAAAAAAATTTTAAAATAATTTTTAATAATGTTTTAAAAATGGCTAAACATTTTTATGTTTTAAAGATTTTCATTCTTACAATACAATAGCAATAATTTTTAATCTGGATTTTTTGTAAATGGTATAATTCATTAAATTTTCAATCGTATTTCATAATCTTTGACGTATGGTAATTCTTATGAAAATTTTACGATATGTTATCACTTAAAAGCGAATTATTGCAAACGAATGTTTAACTGTTAGTATTACTATTTTTAACGTCTAACCTGTTGGAAGAAATTTGGAAATTTTCGATTAATTTGATTTGTGCTTCTATTTATGCAGGTTCTTGGCCGTTAAGGTGATTCGACAAGATGTCAATTATCTTCAAAAGTTCCATAGTTGCCTTGAAAATAGCGGCCATGGTAACTAAAGGAATAAGTGGGATATTTCAGAATATTGGTGAAATCTTCAATTCGTTGTTGGATGAAAATCTTCAATTTAAAAATGGGCTTTTGCCTGTGAATAAGAATGTGCCATTTTTAAGTACAGGAACGGAAAACTGCTTTCATGTATCGTCTGATGGTACGAATGTTCTTCTGTCTAATCTGAAACCTAACAGTGAAGTGCTTATTGTACACTTGTATGCGCATTCGGTAACGAAGACACCAATTTCGAAGAATACTCGCAAGTCGAATAGTTCACAGAAGAAAAAGTTATCACTGAATAGGCAAATATCCACTTCGGAAAGCAATTTAGATAAGATTGCTAAGAAAAAAGAATATCCTTCTTTTGCTCCCTTTGGTGAATCTTCCAAACATGGAACCAAGGGAACGAAGACACCATATTCCAAGAATATTCGCAAGTCGAATAGTTCACAAAAGAAAAGGGCTTTACTGAATATTCAAATATCTACTTCAGACAGCAATTTAGATAAACTTGCTAAAGACAAAAGATATCCTTCTTTTGCTCACTTGAATGAACCTTACAAGCAAGGAACCAATAAAAAAACGCTTGTTTCTGTACTGTTTCAAAATCAATCCACTTCGGAAGAAATCGAAACACTCGATAAAAGTTCCTCGGTTTCCCACGTTAAGCAGTCTTTACGTTTCACAGACATTTCTTTACCGGA